TGTCGCTTATTCGTTATGCAAAAGTCTTTGTAAACCTTAACTATATCACGGCTCATTTGCTTTTCAAATATTTAAAAAAAACCACCGACTAAAAATACAAATCTCATTACATTTGACATCATTAACATTTCTTTCACGCACACACACACACACACACACACACACATAAGTGCTGTGCTTTGTTCTGGCTGGCTCCTAATTTATATGCAGCTGGCAATGGCAAAATATTTATGCACAATTAAATCAAGTAAGAAGGATGGAATAAATGGCAGCCGTGACTAGCACCCACACACACACACACACAGCCAGAGTGACTCTCTCTTTCTTACACACACACACACACCCATTAAGCAGCTGCTCATTTAGAGGAAAAAAAATGCAAATGACATTTAAACCAAAATGCGAAACGTTCCAAAAGCTGCACATGTGATTGTGGCTCCTCTTGCCACTGCCTACCCTCTCTTTCTCTTTCTCCCTCTGTATATATAAATATATGCATGCATATATATATATATATATATATATATATATATGCCTCCATACTCATCTGCATTAACTTTTCACAATGAGCTGTGCAGTTGACCCACATTCGCTGTCCTTTTTCCACACTCTCATATGCGGTTGCACTCCTTCTTCTGCGGTGCCCCTCATACATTTCCCGAGCTTTCTTCTTCTTGATTTGCGGCGATTTCGTGTTGGCTCCCTGGTCTTAATGTGCATTAAAAGCATGGGCTGCTTGTTATTGTTGTTATCCTTGTGTTCTCGCTGTTCCTGTTCTTGTTGTTGTTGTTGTTGTTGTTTTTTGCTACGCAGCGCTAATTAAGTGGTATTATGTGCCCTGCGGCCCTTGGCTTGCACTTCTCTCGTTTCATGCTGTTCTCTGGTTTGGCCATTTTTTTCCTTGCTTTTAATTTATTAAATTTATTTTTCCTTGCTTGGCATTTTCCAAGCTTGTTATGATAATTTCATAATTTCTTCTTTGGATTTTGTAGCCAGCAGTTAATTGCATTGACATTGAGCTATGGCTGTTTAGAGGGTTTGTGACATATATCAAAATTCGTCCCTTATCGCCACAGTTAGTTTGCTATTTGGGCTCGTTTAAGACCGTAAGCTCGTTATGAAATCCGATTCATGTAAATTTATGTTGGAATTCGCATCGATAAAGTTATATATTTATTGCTACTATTTTTCTACTTGATGTAAATAAATATTTTCTCAAAAATAAATTTGGTTTAGTTTTGTGTTGGTAAAAACTAGTTTTTTGATATTTAGTTGTAATTTATTATAAAATGGTCAAAGCTAAATATCTTAAGACAATTTATTAAGGTAGACTAAAAGTCCACAAATGTTTAACGATAACAAAAAATTGTAGCAGTAAATTTGAATGTTTAAACTAATCCGAGTTCCCCATTAGCCAACGTCCAAAATGTATGCTACAATTTTATTAATGGCAAATGGCAACAATGTTTGACTTTTTGAGCTTATTTATTGCTAATGCGTATTATTTTGTTGTGCAACTTAAATGCGCTGACAAATTGTCGTAAAACTACTAAAACTATCGCACACCTACAAATTGACAATTTCTAACGCTGCAGCAAAAAAAAACACAATAACAAAAATTGTCAAATGCATTTTAATTTACGGCGGAGATCTGATGCTGGCGTTTTGCTTGATATTGCCTGCATTTGCATGGCAATTTTCAACAAATGAAAATAGCCTGCATTAAAAATGAAATCGCACACACAGACAGCCAGAGGGAAATGTGCAATTTATAAGGGTTGTGTGAGTGCTATTTTCCCGCTGGGAGTCTAATGCAGTAACACGACTAAAGCGTCAATGGGTTAACAATGGTTGACGGCGCCAATGCCAAATTAAGCCTGCCCCGCTCCACCTCTCTGTTGGCAGCTCTCTTTTGTTTGCGTTTCAAATGAGCCACCAAAGTGCGTTAAATTTTCTGTCGTGTTGCAAAACTAACGAGCAACATTGTTTGATGATGACAATCATTAGATGCGATAATGCAAATGAACGCAGCTGGAGATCCAAATAGAAGCTCTAACTAGGGATAGGAATAGGGACGAGAGAGAGAGAGGGAGAGTGAGAGAGAGAGGCAGATAGAAAGGGAGACAGTAGCGAGACCAAACAGACGTTCTGCGCTGCTGCCTGCTATTGTGTTATGTCAAAAAGAATCCCCAAAAAAATAGCCAAAAAAAATTTGCATGCCAATGATACATGACCGTCTAACAACAACAACAACAACAGCAACAGCAACAACAACAGCAACAACAACAGCAACAGCTGAAAACAACGACTGCCGGCTGTAACAAAAATTGTGCAAAACACAAACAGGGTACACCATGGCACAGTGGTATAAAATATATTCTTTTCAAAACTTAAATGTCCAACTCAAGAAAAAATTGATTAAATAAAATGTTATTTGCTGTTTGCTGTCATTTAATAAATGATATTTTATAAACTTTTTCCTCCTTTCAATCTATGGATCAAGGTAAATAGGTATATCAAAATTGATATCTAAATAACATATGCAATTTAAAGTTCTGATACATTTTGTACTATTATTTGGCATTATTAATTCTCGAATTGTGTTTTCCTCACATTTCCATTACAGAAATGTAAAAAAGAATGCAATTTAAGAATGAAGTCCTAACAATTTGGTGTTATTAATTTTTAACCTCTTTTTATATTTCTTTTTAAGTAAAAATTTTTTTCTTTAATTTCTTTCACTCAATTTAGATGGCACCATTGTGCTGTAGGCGGGCGCCTTAGGAATCTGCATGTTTATAGTGCATGCGCTTGGCTGCCTGCCTGGCTGGGCGTGTCACATGTAGGCGTTGACAGCAGCAGCAACAACGATGACAACACTGATGACGTGCGGTTGTCATTAGAGCTGCTGTTGCTGCTGTCCGACTGTTGATGACGTTGTTATAACACCCCATGCCCCATGCCCCATGCCCCATACCCCATACCCAACACCCTACACCCCCACATGCCACACAGACTACACAGAACAGTCTGTGTCAAAAAACCTCAGCCCAGTTCAGTTGAGTCCAGACCAGGCCTAATGCCCCTTATACAAGCTCACATCCAGCACTGACCGCTGTTCTTCCTGTTGTTTTGCATGGGTTGTTGCTGTTGCTGTCGCTGCCGCTGCCGCTGTTGTTATTGTTGTTGCTATGCTATTGTTGTTGGGTGTCGGTGTCGTCATCATAGTAGCTGGGACACGTTATTGTGGCTGGGCAACAAAATGGAGACCGCATAGCGACCGAAATGCATACAACATGAACAAAGCGTAAAACTGTAAGGCTTGTGGTGCTGGTGGAGCGACAGACGACAACCCTGGTCAAGCGGTGTCCGACCTTTTATTAGGCGTTGATTTCATGTCGGCCGTCGACGCGTCTGCTTTAATTGATGGTTGCAACATTGAAATTATGCGCAGGCTGTTGCACATTGTGGCAAATCGAGTTTATTTATGTATGTACCTATGGTGGCAACCCTTCGCTCAAGGGTTGCCAAGGCTCGAGATGCGTGCACATAATTGTATTGGTATTAGCTGCTGGGCGTCGTCAATTTTTAATCTTTAACAATTTTATTAATTTCCGTAATATTAAGCTTTTAACCATACGGGTTGGGAAAAACTCAGAAGGGAACTTTTTGTAAGCCTTGGCGTGAGTAACTGCTTTAAAGTTGAAGACGAGAGAAATGCTTTATACTTTCCTATTTTTATGGAATTCTTTTCATTTCTTTCTTTGTTATTTTTTTTTTATAGCGTAATCCCAACGATTTCGTTGTCAGATAACATTTACCCAGCATCCTTCTCTCTATGTGCCGGTAATGACATTTTGATGGCATTTTTGCTCCCTAAAAAGTATTGCATGCAAAAGCGTTGCCAGTGTTAAAATATTTTGGTTATGCAATGCAACATATTGACAGGCGGCATGGCCACAGCTCTTCCACAGCACCTAGTCAATTATTCTGGCAATTAGGGTGACCACTTATGTAAATAGATTGGGTAATTTGATGGGATAGGGTGACCATTCGCTTTCCATTTAATAGCTGATTTTCAAAGCTATTAAATTGTCTGAGTAGAAAGGTTGTCGAGCGCTGCCAGGGTTGCCGCAACAACTCAAAAAGTGAGTTATCATGCAAGCACTTTTCTAATTACGATTTTGCATGTGGCTTTTCGCTCTTTTGGAGTCACAGGCTCTCTGTTGCTGGTGGCCTGTGTGGGGTTGGGCACGAGCCGGGCCAACATTGGTCTGGACAGATTTCCCTGCAGGCCAAAATCTAGATGTTTTCGTTGCTTCTGTTATGGATGCAACTTTAAATTGCTTTGCCTGTGACTTTTTTTTTAGCCGTTCTGAGAGCCCCCACGCTCTGTCTTCCTCTTAGAGGGAGCTGACAATGCAGACGAGCCCTGACTACCGCTGCTGTTGCGATTCTCTGCTCGTTCCTGAGGGAACCGCATCAGTGCACTGATTGCGCAGCATCGCTCCAAAATTTCACAGAAGCGAGCCCCCAAAATGCCTGAGTGCGTAATGTGTTTTCCGGGACTAGCCCCAGTGCAGTCCCAGGGGAGGGTTAGGTGGCAGGGGCAAAAGTTGCGGGTTGGAATTTTCCAAGTCTGACGATATGGTGATAAAGTGCAGACATTTGACAAATTAACTGCTTTGCGCCGGAAATGTTGTTGCAACGTTCGGCAGGCAGAAACGACAAATTCCCTACACCCTGATGGATCTCCATACCACCCACAAACGTCCTCCCATCCCATGAGCACTCCAACGAACTGAAGCCAACGCCATACAAGCTCTGATTGATTTATGAAGCCAGACAACGATTTGAGAACGATGGCAGAAAAGGTGTTAAACTTGATGCATGAGTGTTAACCAACAAATACTAAAGATTCAATTTAAAAGTTACGCCTTAGTACTAAAATAATTATTAAAATAATGATAATGCAAATGAAAAATAAAAAAGTATCTTACTTGATTCTGACTCAAAGCAAGCGAAAGCACGTCGTCACTTACCTGAAAGAAAGCAAAGAAGACAGAGAAAATTAGATTAAACCATGAAATAAACTATAACTCTTAAATGAATAGTTATAATTAATATTTGTTAGATTAAAATATGTGTAATAAAATCACATTCTGTTTGGAATGCCAATTTATTTTATAGTCCAATGAAACACAGAATGCTAATATGAAACCGCTTACGGATGTGCAGCAAAGTAGAAGTTGCAAACACGAATCTGTAGAGGCAATTCTGGGGAAGTCAGCTTCATAGTCAAACGGAATATAAAATTACAGATGGAGTCAATGTGTCTATAGGAAGGCAAATTTTCTAGTTATTCCAGCAGATCAAAATTCAATATACTCCAAGGATGTCCAATAAACTCTCTCACATTTTGACAAAATGACAAAATGACATTATGTAATGTGTGGAAACACAAAGTAGCAATAAGAAATTGTAGCTGAGCAGCAGCAGGCGCCCAATATGTACAAGTATTAAGTCGTAAAATGCATGCCACACACACACACACACACACACACACATAAAACTATTGAAATTGCTTTATAACCAGCAGGGTGGGAGTCAGCAGAAGAGGGGGCTGGGGAGGATCACATGCGTAAGCACTGAGCGCTATAATTTCGAGGCTAATGCCATGCCACAAAAGCTGTTACTTAAATACTATGGCAGGGGACAGTGTGCCGTGTGCCGGAGGGAGGAAGTCAGTGACCTTGAGCTTACGCTAACTGAAATTACAGTCGAAATTAAGTTTGACACATGTCATACAGTGCACACAGAGGGAAAATGTGAGCAGACAAGAGCTCTTAGTGGCCACACACCTGGAACAGAGTGCACGGCAGAGATAGGATCAAGAACGGATTGGGGGGGTGTAGGGAGCGAGATCCCGTTGGCTACTGTCGCGGCACGAACTTACATAAAAATCAACAGTTTATGGCCAACGCGTGTCCTTGAGTGGCAGTATGGCAGGACGACAGACGAGCAGAGGCAGAGGAAAGTGCTGCCCTAACCCAAACCACCCACAATCGTCCAGGTCCCACAGGCTTGGTTGTTAAGGACCTGAAAAAGTTTTCGTCTGGTTTTGCGTTGCAGATCCTCTACCAAATGTCTTGCCATCTATTTGCATTTTCTATTTATTTCTTTATCCCTTTGGCAGGCGAATCGGCGGCACTTGAGTTTGGCAGCCATTAGTGGCACGTCCTTGTCCCTGTCCCTGTCTCTGTCTGTCGCTGTCCCTGTCCATGTCCCTGGCCCTGAATCTATCTCTGTCCCGTTGCACGTTGTTTGTCGTTTTGTCCTCTGCCCGAGTCCTGTCCTGTTTGTATCTTCCACTTTGCCACTCATATTTTATTAAGTAGCAAAGTTGACAGGGGATTCGAGGCCTCACCCCCCCAACCGCCTCCGCTCCACAGCGCTCAAGTATATCCAAGTGGAACTGTCATTTTGCAAAGTAAATATTGGTAATTTTTATTGAGGACTTTGCTTGATTCCCTTCCTTAGCCCGCACACAGGAAAAACGAATACTTTGGCAAATTATAAACATTTAAGGGCACAACAAAAAATAGACAAGAACCTGGATCTGGATCTGGAGTTGAACCCAAATCAAGGCAGAGAGCATTAAGCAATAACCGAAAGTGATTGCAACTAGAAAATTAGAAACACATTTCTTAACTCAAACAGTTTGCAGCTCGTCTTCCATGCCCCTCCCCGTGCCACTCCCACTTTTTGCCCAAATATGTGTGTTACGCAACGCATCGATGGGCCCAAAAATGTTCGAGAATGCAGCAGACCGTAAGCAGACAACATAAGCGTTAACAAGAAGCTTTTGGACGGTTGCTATAACATGATTTGCAAAAGCTGGAGCATCCAAACCAAAACAACCCCTATCCTAAGGGCAAGCTCTGAGTAACCATGGCAAGAGGCACAAATATATATATATATATATATATGGGCAGGTGTTGCACACATACACATGTACAAGTGAATTTGTTACCCGGAAAAAAAATAAATAAAAATTAATAATTGTTGCCTACTTTGGGGTGCACATCACTTAAAAGTTCAAATAACGCTTAAGTGGTTAACAATTAGAGTTTGGCCTCCGGTCATATGTTTAAAGTCGAAATGGCTCTTAATGAAAAGACACCTTTAACAACGAATGCTTTAAAGTGACAAGAGCGCTATAAATCAAACAGAAAGCACAATAGAACTACGTCCCTTTTGTATCATATTTTAGCATGATATTCATAAAGGTTTCAAGTGCTTTCGGCACACATCATTTAACTTGGCCGGGGCGGGACGACCTCAGAAGAGCAAAAAAAAACCTGTACAAACAGCTGCCTTTCAATTTCAATCAGCACACAATTCAACGCTAATAGCTTTTCCCAGTTACGAAAGGAGCACAAGTACTGGAGGTACTGGAGGAGGTGAATGAATGGAGGTTTTTGCTATTTACTTTTCGCACAAATTGTTATAAAATATTTAAAAATCATGCTTCAGGCCCTGAGCCGCAACGAACCTTAAAAACGAGCATCAAGAGTCGAGTCAAGGAAATCTTTCTTTATTTTTTTTTTTTTTTTGGCGAAAAAAAAGTCATAAAATGTAAAGATTTCCAGGCACGCAGCACTTCAACGGCTTCCGTTTTAGATGGTAGGCCCTTAAATATGCACACAGAGCTTCAATTTTGTGCTAGTGTATGTTTTGTATGTATGTGTGTGTGTGTGTGTGTGTGTGAGACCCTCTAGAGAATTGAGGCCCATAACTATGTACGTATATGCATATATATAGTCTCTACATAGTCAACTTTGCCATACGCATGAATACTTAAAATGCAGTGAAAATAAATTACACAAAATATTCTTTTCAATTTCATTTCTTTGCCTACATTTGCATTGCATATTTTATATTGTTGTTTAATATATAATACCAGACACATGCAGATATTAAAGATTGACATGTGAGTCCTGTGTCTTTATATTTGAGTTTTGTGACCATTTTTGGATGGCAGCTTAAATTTACAACTGTTCATTCATTTCATGGAAATCATTCCGAAACGATATAAAGCAAAAAGAGTCTCCAAATATTCATGCACCTAAGACAAGGTATCCATTCGATTCCAACAATATTTGAAGTATTTTATATGTTTCATTATCAAGTAATTAAAATGGAACTTTTATTTATTGTAATAATCCAAACGAATACCATATGCAAAGATATCCAAATAATATTAAGGTATATGGCATTAGCCAATTGTGTAAACCAATTTACATAAAACACAGAGTTAATAAACGTGTCACGTTCTCATCAGCATCATTTAACATTTTGAAATAGGACAAATTAAGCATAATCATCCATCAATTTGGGGATCATGACACGTTTGGCTTAACTTATTCATGAATTGTGTAAATTTTCATTGTTTCTTGTCGTATCACATTTTTGACGCATTGTAACAAAACAATAAAAAACAAATCAAATAAAGCTCAAAATTCCAAATACGTTGTTTGGTTTTTTGTTTGGATAGGGCTGGATCTGAGGCACGTCCCAGTCATTTTACTGCGATTAGCAGGCCCAAAAATTGGCATTTCACTTTAATAAATCGCCCAACAATCTTCTGGGAAAGCGTTTTCAATTCGCAGTAAAATGACGACAAGCCAAAGCACCGGAAGACATCAACAAAAAAAGTCGCCGCCAAAAGCAGCCATTTAATTTTTTTTTTTGACAAGTGGAAAATCAGCTTCCGGGCGTGTATTTATGCTGCTCTCTCTATGCCGGCAGGGCAGATCTGCGTGGAACAACCTGAGCAAAGTCTGCAGTTGAAACAAATTTAATTTTCTACTTTTTGGCGGCTGCCAGACAAATAGAAACAAGCCGCAAAAGCCACCAAGAGACGCCTGCGGCTGACACAAGTGCGACGGCTGCTTCCTTTTTAAAATGTTTTTTAGCTGGCTTCAGTCTGCCAGGTTATTTTTTTTTTCTTTTTTTTTGGGCACACAAAAATAGTAAAAACTTTTGGATAATTACATTTGTCGGCGACGGCGGTTGTTGCTTTGGCAGCTAAGTCAAAACAAACAACAACAACGAATCACCCGAAACCCAGAAAAACCTAAAATGGTTTTCGGTCTGACGAAGTTGAAATACCCTAGTAGAAATAGTAAATTAAATAAATACATCTGTAAATTAAATAAGAGCTCAACTTAAAAGATTTTAATTATACACCAGTTAAAGGACAAAAATTAATGTTAAATTAAAGTGCCCATTTAAAGGAGGGTACACAAGGACGATACTTGTACTATATCAATATCTTCTTTTCAGGCTTTTTCTTTTTTGTTATTTGGCTGTCTGCGCTTTATGATTTTCTTCGACCTCTCCTTTAAAATATACTGTTTGGGAGGGATGGATTCGCCAACTTCTGGTGCTGACTCTAAGCTAATTTCGTGGTTGGCGCTACTGGGCGTCCGAAAGTATGTAAATGCTATGAGAACTTCTTTTGATGTCCTTTTTAATCATTTGGTGGGATGGCAAGTGGCTCGCAGTTGGGGAACGACGAGGGTAGAAAATGGGGCATTTTTATTGTGACTGAGCGCACAATCAATCGAGCGGCCATTTTGTAATATCCGGCTTAAAATGTAATATGCGAAATGTTGATTGAAATGCAAAGAATCGATCATAGAACATAGAACAGAAAATGAAGAAAAGCCGCCGCCCACATGTTCACAGCTTAATTGTTTTTTGCCATCGGTATGTATGAGCGCGTCCTTAAATCTTTTCTTAAATGTGTGTGGATGTCTGTATAATTGCCATCTGCTTGTAGTTGACAAAAGGCTGCACAGCAGAGCAGAGCACAGCACAGCACAGCAGACAAAAGGATGAGGAGTTGTGCCACATGCCGTCTGCGAGTGACAGCTAAGGAAAAAGTGAATTATAGGAACGAGAATAGATTGAGATAGAAAGAGAATGAAGAACGGCAGGACAGTTACCACCTGAAGAGATAGTTGGAAGGAGCTAA